GGCCTCCGGAGCAAGAGGGGCTGCACAGAAGGTGTCTCCGAGCGGGAGACTTGGAGAAAAACAGCCCCAGGTCCAGCCGGGCAGGTGAGTGAGCACCTGAGAGAGGTTTGTCCGGAGGATCCCTCGCACTGCGGGGCTCTGCCGCCCTCTGGAGGTTGGTGCCGTATTTGCAGAATCATGGAATCAGAATCCTAGACTGGCCGAGGCTGGAAGGGACCTCAGAGATCATCTGGTCCAACCTCCCTGTCACGGGCAGGGACGACTCTCAACTAGATCAGGCTACTAAAAGGATCCGTCCAACCTGGCCTTGAACACCTCCAGGGAGGGGGCAGCCACAACATCTCTGGGCAATTTATTCCAAAGTCTTGCCGCCCTCGTACTGAAGAATTTCTTCCTAAGGTCTAATCTAAATCTATTCTCCTTCAACTTAAACCCATTTCCCCTTGTCCTGTCGCTGGACACTCTTGTAAAAAGTCCCTCCCCAGCCTTCCTGTAGGTTCCCTTCAGGTACTGGAAGGCAGCTCTTAGGTCCCCCCGAAGTCTTCTCTTTTCCAGACTGAACAATCCCAGCTCCCACAGCCTGTCCTCGTAGCAGAGCTGCTCCAGCCCCTGGATCATCCTTGTGGCCTCCTCTGAACACGCTCCAACAGATCCACGTCCCTCTTATGGTGGGGGCACCAGAACTGGAGGCAGGATTAGAGGTGAGGTCTCACAAGAGCAGAGTAAAGGGGGAGAATCACCTCTCTTGACCTGCTGACCACGCTTCTCTTGAAGGCACCGCACACATCGATATTATTTATATTCTTTTTCTCTAGATCACCGGGAAGTAATGTTGGGGGGGTTGTGTTGTGGTTTTTGTTTGTTTGTTTTCCAAGACAACCTTGTAATGTTCTGCTCAATCAGCCGGATAAGCCACACAGCGTAACAGCCTGTGCCCCAGTTTGCGTTCCATAGGTGAGCTTGGCCATATTTTTTCTTCTCAGTGAGTGCACTGACCTGCACAACTTGTGTCAGAATTCTAGAAACAGTGATCCTAACTCAGTGCTTCTTGTTTTAAGAAAGGATTTATGCACTCTGTCTGACTGTGCCCTTCTTGTACTGTGGGGCAGCTTATGGATATGCTTGAAAAATACTAAATATAAAAAGAACACAAAGAGTAGATCTGCTGTGGAAGTGGTGATTGGAATTCAGTGTAATAAATGTGACTTTGGTGCTCTTTCTAACTCTTCCCTTTCATAATACTCCTGCCAGATTCACAGAGTCCATGTCTACATCCCTACCTTGGCTTTGTCTTCCAGGAATCGTTTACTCCTTATTAATCCACTTTGTCCTTCACTTCGTCCTTTTCCTTCTGGTGGGGTGTAGCACCAGACAGTGCTAGTGGCTTCCAAGGGGACACTTCATTTAGGTGATTAATAATGTGGCAGGGGAAGAGAGCATATTTAATAAAAAAAAAAACAGTTGTATTTACCTTTATCACATTAGCCTTGTAAAGAGTAGAATATCTTCAGGAGGAGATTCTAGAGAAAGTTCTTGGATTATCAGGTGCAGAAAAGAACATGTGCTGCATTGGAACATACTGGTTCATGTATTTGAAGGCACAAAAATTTACCTTGTACCTCTGGTGTATGCACCAGTATGGATATAGTTCTGAATCCAAGCAAGTGAACTGGAAAATGTTTGGTTTTTCTTTCAACTGAAAGAGATAGTAGATGGTTTCCTTGATAAGGTCCATATTAACAATTCGTTGGCAATTAAGCTAATTTGGCAACTGAAAGTTGAGTCATTGTCTCTCTCATTTGTGTAGTTTATTACATGAACTATCTAGTTTGAGCTACTCTTAGACAAACAGAAAACAACCTCATAAGTAGTTGCAGTTTCAGCATAAGTTTTATTTTCTATTACAGATGTGTACAGATGTATAAGGAGAGGTTTCCACCAGTTTTGGAAAGGATTCATATAGCCTTCAAGCATGTAATTTAGAATAATCACTATATTTACTAAGGAAAAGAAGTAAAGTAAGAAAATAAGCCTACTGTCAGTCTGTGACTAACCTTGCCCTTTATTAATTCTAGCTCTAGGTCTCCTGTTCTTCCTTAAAAGATAATCTGTTCCAAAGTCCTGTCAGGGCAAACTGCTCAGGTTCACATACTTCTTTCCTCTTTAGAGTTGTGAAATCTGTAGTAATTTCATTTTAAAGTAAAGCTTGAAGTAAATCTAGTGCTGTCTTTGTCCTTCATCTTGCCTCAGGTTTTCAGATGAGTTTCTAAAAAGGGAAGAGACAAAGATTATTTTGATAGTATTCATATTTTTCTGAAAGTCCTGTTCCAACAATCTGTTTAAAGCTCTACAAGTGCTCAGCGCACGGCAGAAGGTGGCTTTCACACAGTTATATTCTATAGGGGCACATACACAGAGGATGGTCTTATGTGTGTAACGGCCACAGAAGTAGCCCTTCAGAGTGACTTTGGGGGAGAATGGAGAGGAGCTTGGGCAAAGTTTTAAGAGCCTGAAAAGCAGGGTGAGAGCTGAAGCGTGAAGCCATTTGTAGTTGGAATGTGTAACCAGATAGGGAGACTGACATAAACATTTAAACAGAAGATTCGTAAAGATGAGCTTCATGTGGGTGAGGCTGCAAAGGTAAAATCGAGGCAGCTCGTGGCTGGAATCCGTCATTAGAACTTTAGTTATCAGTGACTCTGCTGGGACTACCTTAGTCACAGTGTAGTTCTTATCATGCTTCACCAGGAAAAGTCTGAAGGTCTCAGCTGAGAAAACAAGGAAACGCTGGGATGGGAGGGCAAGGGGGGAAAAGTGTAGGGAGAGGAAGCCTTCCCCTTCTGCCTAATCCACTTCAGAGTGGTTCCCTGAAGTTGGGCCAGCAGGTTCTGAGCATCAGGTACTTCAGTCGTTCTCTTAGTAGGGATTCAGTAACTTAGTAGTAGCTTAGTCTCAGTCAGTTCTGAAGTGCTGCTCTGAATGTCTTGCATGACAAATTAGTTGACAAAAAATGTTTGGTTTGTGCTGTTGGTGGCTTTGTTTGATGGTTTGTTTGCATTTTTTTTAAAGTTCTGCTTTTATGACTTGGTTGGCAGTGCCTTTAGCATTCTCCTCACACATGTCCCCTAGCATCTTCTCCAGCACTTGTCCATATTCTTGATACTCTTCTTTGGTTATCTCGACACCGATTTCAGAGGGAACGTTGAACTATAAAAGCATTAAAAGACAGAGTTTAGCAGACAAGTTCTGCACAAGGACACTGCAAGTTCATTTTATTCATAGGATTGATGATAAGCAAGAAGTACAAAAGGTTATTCCATCTAATCTCTTCTTGGTGCTGAGACATGTCATCAACCAGGGTCTCTACAGTTACTGCAGACCAAACTCTACAGTGAACTGGAGGAAAGAAAACTTTACCAGAAACTTGCATTATTATATGTTAGTTCTGAAATGTAAGTGAATTGTGGTCTGAATTACTGCAGCTATTTTTAAATAATTTCATGCCATCAATGCTGGCAGTTTTCCAGTGCCCTTTCCTATTTGCGTTTCAAGTTAAATGGGATTGTTGTTTTAATTTGCCTCCTTTGACAGAAATTGTGTTACCTGACCGCTCCCCTTAACCTGTATATATCTATATCTATATCTATATCTATATCTATATATATATATATATCTATATCAAGAAGAATAAATACAAACCTTAATTTCAACGCTGTTTCTGTCGTCCTCTGCCCCTGCTCCATCTGGATCCCAAAGCTTTCTGTGCCTCGATGATGTAATGGTGCCGTGGTTCTTCGTGGATCCTTCTGTTGCTAGAAAGCAGGCAAAATAGTATCAATATACTCTTTTTGTAATCAAACTAGTCTGCAGTGGGGAAATTAGAACCTGTAATTAACACAGATGCAGCAAATTAGCTGAAGGCATCATACACTCATGGATGTGTGATACAGAGGTCTCTAATTATTGTACTACCATTGCTGCGTTCGCTTTAACTGGTACTTGGTTTAAGGGTTCATTGAAGAACAAGCCCCTTAAAGTTCATTTCTAAAGGAGATGCTAACAAATGATTTAAATGAATGCTTTCTCCTCAATTTTCTTTTTTCTTTGGATTCTTAATTCTTGGTGAATTAAATTAAATACCTATTCTCATAGCATGAATAAAATGCTAATAGTTTGTTCCAGAAGTTCTCTGGAATAACTCCTTCCTTTTCCAGAAACTGTATCTCCTAAAAGCTTCTCTGAATGCTGTAAAGAATAACGGTTTTAAGGACTTAGAGGGGAGGATAATCTTGAGAAGGTATTTTTCTGATTTTTTTTACCTGTGGTTTTTTATATTCAGGGCTTAAAAAACTCGAGCCAGCCAGAGTAGGTTCTGTCCAGAGGATGCTGAAAAGAGTAATTCCCAGCAGAGTACTTCTGAGAAACAGGATTATCTTCCTGGTGCAGGGAGTCAAACCTGAAAACATAAGATGGAAAAATTAAACGTATTTTAGAACCTCTGTATTTAATTGAATCCTGATCCAAAGACAATATTTCTTGTGAGTTGAATGACCTGAAAATATTTCTAAAGTTAGATGTATAAAGCAAATGTAATTTTTATACGCTAAAGGTAAAAATATCCTATCCAAAAGCAGCTATTGCTTATGGTGTTTTCTTCTGGAACTAAGATGCAGTAACTGGAACAGACAGGCTAGTGGAGAGGAATTAATTACACAGGAAAACTGGCACAAGCTGAAAGTGATCTGAAGCTTTACCTGCTTATTTTTGTGGCTCCACCAAGCAGCTGCTGTCTGAAACACTTTATACGTAGAGTGGAATATTTGTTCTGTGCTACAATATTCCTGGAAATGCAATCTGGTATGTATTTAAATTCTGTGTAAACTTGACCTACTTTTAAAGTAACAAAATCAACAAAAATGAAAACTGCATAGATCTGTTGCTGTGCTTATTTATATGTATAATGAAATTGCATAGGGAATGAAGTCGGAGTTTCCTTTTTTCCTGCGTCATTACCACTGTTCCTTTTCAAAAATAGTAATAGCTGTAGCGTGTATGTTTCAAACAGGAAAAGCCCCAAACCCTTCTGTTGTCTGAAGGGGTGTTACAGCAATGGAGAGGCTGAGCTGTGTTCCTGACCTGTAGTGACAGCCAGGTTTTCTTCCCATTTTTGCCTCAGTGCCTTCCTTTTCCTCTGTATTCTCTCCCAGGTTGTTGTATCAGATTTTGTTGCCTTTTGCTGGGAGAGTGAAACTGGTACCTAGGAACCTTTGCTTCTGTTTCTTTAAAACCAGAACATTAACAAATCTGTAACATTTCAGTGAAGATTACGAGCAGTAGCTGAGGATCTAGAAATATCTCATGAAGTTTATTCTCAAGTGCAACTGTAACATTTTCATCTGATGCTTACATTTGCCATGAATAACTGTAACTTAAATAATCTTTTATCAATTTTAAGTGTTGGGGATACTTTGATCATTACTTGAAACCATTTTAATATATTTAAGTACAAAAGCTGAACTGGGCCTCGCTGCTAAGGAGGTTTGAATTCTGAAGTATTAAAACTCACAAAATTTAAAGGTAACTTTTAATATGGTGAATTATGGAACCCAACATCCCCACAGGCAAAACCTTTTCCTGTGTATTTACAGAGTTAATGAAGCACGATAAAAATCTAAGACTGAGGTTTCGTTTTTGAGCCTTTTTATTAGAGCTAATGTGCTTGATTTCAGGTTTGTAGCTTCCACAGCACTTAAAGCCAACCCAAACCCCTCACACATGTCCAGGTACTGCTCTACCAAAGGACAAGCAGGTATGGTGCTGGGAACAAACGCATGCCTGTTCAGCTCAGTGGTTTTGATTTGGATCTTAGTGGACGTGGAAAACAACTGGGGAGAAAAATCGTGCTTTGCTGTATAATTTGCAGTGGAACTGTTTAACGGGAACGCTGATCTCTAGGCGAGCTGCTTTTTTCTTTGCGGGCTGAGACTACAGAGCAATTACACGAGAGCATGAATGTTGCGTGCTTCTGTTGCTGTATAGAAAGATAATTCATTTACGCGTTTTTGTGAAAGTAACTAGGCTATTATTTGGTTAGCATAGATAATGATGATAAACCAGGTTTGTCTTTCTAGAAAGAGGGGGTTTATCATCCTGACTATGCCAAAGCAAAGACCATGCCTAGGACACACTAACTTGGAGGCTGGCCATGAATTCTTCACTTGTGTTGAAGAAGAATAAAGGGAAAATGTGGCCTTTTAAATACTTTCCCTCTCGTAGGAGGGGAAGTGTGATTCAGCCTTTAGCTGAAGGCACGCTGAAGAGTGGTTTGTTCGAGCCCAGTGACCTGACTGAAGTGCAATAGTAGGAGAGTTTAACTGAAGGCAGGACTTTGTTCTTTCTTACACTACCTACAGCATTAGTCTCTAGCGGACTAGTGCCCTCCTAGCTCTTGCCAAGGACCCTGTGAAAAAGATTATTAAATACAGCACACCAGGCTTTAACCAATCGGACTTTATTTTGTTGGTATTGCAACAAAAAACCCACCTGAGGAACAGTACACAAGTGTGGCTAAAAAAAAATCTTCAAATTACTGTGTGATTTATTGATGTTGGTTAAATAACCAAGTCTGAGATTATTGTGAAGCAAAAGACATATGCATTCCACTACTCCTTTTCATCTTCAGGAAAGCAGAGAGACTGTCACCTGTCCAAGCACCACTCTTCCCAGAAGGGCTGGCTAGCATGCTGTCACCTAATGCTGAGAACTCCACCGGTCCTCTTCCCTCACTTGAAACAAATTTCTGGCCTTGAAGGGACAGAGTACTCGTGCCCTTGCACAAAGGAGTTCGTGCCTCACCACTCTGACAGCCTCCTCCTGTTCCTGCTGCAGTGTTTGAAGCCTGACCACCGCACAATCCAATTCAATTTGATCCCTACACCAGGAAAGCAGAGAACCACTTCTTCAGCATCAAGGAGTAGTGTAAGGCACAGTGCTTTGCTGTGCTCTTTACCTTAACTTTAAGGGAATGTCAATTAAGGCTGACTCTCAACATACTGCAGCCTCCCAGCAATGGTTAGAGTGCTCATAAAATTGGGTAATTGGTTCCCTGTTCATGTCCAGTTTAGATAAAATCAGTTCTCGTTTGGTTCAAGAAACATTGCGAATCGGGTACAGCGATCACTTGTTGCCGCTGGAACGTTCCCTCAGGCGTCACTGCTCATTCTGCTGCCCCTCTGTCACGGCCGACACCCCTCCTTGGCCCTTGTTGACATCGCTGATACACGCCCACAGTCCGTCCACCGACTCCTTCCACAGCGTGACCTCAAAACAGACCAGGAAGAAGTTTCAGCCTCAGCACATCCTCAGTTTTCCATCCCCTCACAACTATCACATCACCAGTGTGGTGATAGTCTACAGTTAGAGAAGTCAAGTGCAGCAGTGCTGTTCTAAGTGTTGCTGTGTACTAAATAATCATCCAGTGGTGAAGAGAGAGGATGCAAACTCTGCATTTCTATCTCCACTAAGGATTAAGAATGTAGTGCAAGGAGTTTGCAAAGATTAGGATCTTCCTCCCCTCACGATAAGTCAAAAGAAAAAAACATTACAGCAGCAAAGGAGAATCTACAACAGTCTTAACTTAAACAACAGTACCAACAGGCTGTCTGATCTCAACTCTGAGATACAGCACGGCAGGAGCAGAGGGCAAGGCAGCAGTACTCACTTTATTGTCTCCTCCCGACACTGCAAGGATGTTGGCAGTAATGGACCAACTCACGTGCCAGACAACATCATTGAACTTGTGCAGCAGCTTGGGCGACCATGAATTTCCAGAGGCATCATCACACGTCCAGATAAACACTCTGCCATCCTGCGAAAGGAAGCACACCGAGGTGGTTGGACCACTAGTTACAACACAGAAAAGACCTTGGACTACACTTCCAGAGCACAGCTCCACCATGAACCCTACCCATGCCCACAGAGATTTTGCTAACACGGCAAAGGGGCTGTTTTCTTACTGTAGCTAAAAGCAAGGTAAGAGTACAGTTCTCTGATGAGAAAAGCCACATACAAACTGTGACTTGCAAATACCAGAGAACAGCTCCCAAAATAAAATCACAGAAAATAAATAAAATCAAATCATGTGCTGGGCCAGAAGGGACTTTATAAGGTCATCTAGTCCAACCCCATAGAAATTTTTTTCCCAGAATGAGATTTTGCTTTTTATACGCTGACAGCAAGTTAGCACCTTACTGAGAAATCATCCTGCTACAAAAGCAAGCATTTACAGGATTATTAGCAGCCAGAACACTACAGTCAATATGAAGACTGAGCACATGAGAGCTGATTAAGAATGACAGTTATTAGAAAACAGTATTTTTAGCTGGCAGTTCAGTGATCTAGATCTAGAGACGTTAAAATGCAATGTTACCGTGAAGGTCTTTCTCCCAGCAAGACCATCCTGCTCAGGATTTGAAAATGAAAGGTAAGACTTTGGTACAGAGCCACGCACACAGAAACCTTTGTCCAGAGATGCTTCCACAGGGCTCCGGAATTTGGGAGGAACAGAAATCAAAGCTGTTATGCACAGCCCCAGACAGAGCAAAGGACTGCCAGGAGGACCCATTACAGCAGTTCTGCCCTTACTGTTCCTTCACCAGAGAAAAGGGTGTCCTGAGCCTGCCGCTATCACTGCGACAGAAGCCTCACCTGTGAGCAGCTAGCAATGGTGCTCGTTGGCAAACCTATGGATGGAGCCCAGGCCACGTCCCGAACCCAGTCACTGTGAGCCTCCAGCTTCTGCTCTTCCTTCCACTGACCATCTTCTTCCCTGAAAAGACACTGACGCAGTCAGAAGGGTGGCAGCAGCAGCCAGCTGTATTTGTCACCCCCTGTTCCAGATGGAGATGTCAGACTCCTGGTCTGTCCAGACAATACAAAGCACAAGCATTCCCCACTCTTCTCCAAAAGGCTCTATGGCTTAAATGGACAAAATCCCTCCCAGGGCACAGAAACCAGCACAGGCAAAGTGTATTTGATATTCAGAATGAACACACATGCAGAAGTCTGCTGTTGTCCCGTGACTGTGGTAATCAGTCAGAAAGCCACTTCCCAAGATGAGATGAAGCGGGGTTGACACAAATTGCTACAATCAGGTGAGAGATTGTACATCACCAGGTTGTTTCCATTTTTAAAGCCCCTCTCCAAAATGATAATTCAAAGATGAAAGCTTAGAGATGCTGAAAATATTACCTGAGATACTAACAAGGACATTCAGAGAATATAAAGAGTATCAGGTTTTAAAAGTTCTTGAGTCTGGCAACAGGGCACTTACTTCCAGATCTTGACAAGGTTGTCACAGCCACCAGACGCAAATCTTTTGATGTAGTTTGGTTTTTGACCAGATGGCTGTTCTATAAGGCTTCCTGGGACAACAGCAGGAGCCCAGCTAACTGCGTTACATCCAATCTATTTAATGAAAAGATATCATTATTAAAAGTTGCTTCCTTTAAATAAATAAATAAATAAGAGCCGCTGAAGGGGCAAAGGATACTGAGCACACTCTCTTTTGCAGGGAGCCGGGGGAATAAGCCCGTCTTAGGAAAACAGGAATCTTTCACAACGCTGGACGGATACCGAGTGAACAAGAAATCCAGATACAGTCTAGTCTCAACAAGGCACTTATTCAGAGCACCTGAGGTAGCCAGGTAACTGTTTTATGCGCAAATATCGTCTCGGATGTGCAAACAGTGGAGACAGATATAAGCTGAAAAGACGCAAGACACCCACAGTCACTAAGATTTAGGAATGCAGGACTGGAAGGAACCTTTGGCCCGGAGCCCAATTTCCTTTTATTAAGCACCACTGCCATTAGCTTACAAAGTTCTGCTTAAGCAAAAGTTCCCTCTGTTTTGGGAAAAACATGAATCCTCCATTTTTTTAAGCTTCAGTTTACTACCAGCCAGTTTGTACAGGTGTTCTTAGTGCCAAAGCCATTTCCTACCAGGAACTTCCAGCACTGCGTTCAACAATAACGCTTCATTACCAGGTATTGGCGATGCTGTTTAGTAACCTCCATATGTCCTGTTTTCTACTTCATTTCAGTGACTACAAAGTATACCTTCCCAGTCTGGATGAATATAAAACAAATCGTTCTTGATTCTGGAAACCGTTTCGTGTAGCTTCACTGTATTTCAGTATTTATCCAGCCTCTAAGTTCTTGGAGGCATCAGCTCAGTGTCTACCTGTAGCACCAAGAACCCTGTGCTGCTCCAGGGGAAGAGACTTACCGTATGGGCATTGCTGATCTTTTTGATTTCCCACTGCCCGTCACCCGTGTAGCTCAGTAACGAAATGGCCCCATCAGAGCTCCCGCAGGCCAGGATCAGTCCGTAGTCATGCGGCGCCCAGCAGACAGAATTCACTGTGAAGGGTGAGACAGACCGGATTGCAACACAGTAACTACCCAAAATTAACTAAGAGTCACTGACTGATATTAGTCACTGACTGATATTAGTGGCACCGTCCCTAAAAGCGAGCCGCTTGGAAAGCTGGGAACAAGAGTCCTGGCATTCCTCAGTGTCAGCAAAGCCAGTCAGTTAACACAGCTTACGGGATGACAGAAAACTGCCTTTGTTTTTGGCACTCTTTTAGAATGAGAACACCAAAAGAGCCCTCTTACTGAGAGATTAAAAACTCGGACTATCCCCTGCAACAGCAAAGAGTATCGCTGCTGAGCAGCACCAAAGCTGAACGGCAGGCACAGATTGAACATCTAGATCAGTAACACAGCAACGCTGGAGACTTCTCAGACCCGCAGCCAGCAAGACCAGTCATCTGAACAAGGCATTTTCCATTGTAAAACAAAAACACAACAGGCTAAAATCCACCTTTTTCTTTTATTCCTGTAGTGGATACAGACAATATTTTCCTGAAGAATTCAGGACCCTACCGTCTTATTTGTATGAAAGCTGATTTATTTTGAAAACCACTCCTATGCAGACATAGCATGAATCAGCACAAGAAGTTATCCAGCAATAGGACATTACATAAATTCTGTTTATGCTGAACACACTTACTGTCTTCTCCATTAATTTACACCTGCCTGTTTAATAGAGGCTTTGGTGGCTTTACTGCCATCTTACCTAAATCCTCTCGTATACCCTGTCTCAGTTCCCAGCTCCAGAATCCACACACCTGAGGAATCGTGCCCTGTGTACTCGTATGTCTTTTCCCACGTGCCATTTTCTTCCTTCCAGATAATCACTTTCCTGTCATAGGAACAGGAAGCCAAGATATTTCCGTACATAGGATGAGCCCAGGCAACCTGCCACACGGGACCTTCGTGCCTGCAAGAGACAACGTTATTTGGAAAAGTTGAGAGAAACCTGTATCATTACTGTAAACGGTTGTTCTGTCCACGATTAACACAGTGATATAAACAGTGAGTAATGCCTGGGTGAAAAACAGCGTATGGGACCACGAGACAAGGTTGCTGACAGAAAAACCAATTCCAAACATTTATCCTTATATTAGCAATTAGGGCTGCAAGTTGACTTCTGGAAAATTACAGGCGTCAAGTATTTAATGACTGAAAAAGCCCCAGTGTTATTTCTAGCCATCTCTGTGTCCCCCTCCCAGCTCTCAACAACCAGCCACAGTAGTTATTACCTCGGAAGAATTTACCACACATCTTGTTACCAAAAGGCAAAATGACAAAATACAGATTTTTTTCCACAGATTACAATCTTCCATTTACGAGACTTTACCCTCTCAGGTCCGCAATGAGGATTTGCCCTCCATTCCGAACATCAAAGATTTTCACGGATCGGTCTGAAGAGCAGGTCGCTAAGCGGGTGCCGTAGTAATCCATCTGAGCATCGTGCTGCAAGGCACCACAAGAGCTGCTGTCAGCACGTGGAGCTCCGCTGTTAACAGAGCCCACTCAGAGTTGTCACATAACCGAATCCCAGCATGACGGGTTATAAAGCACAGTTTTTAAACAACCCAGACAAACCGCTTAAGTAATCTATTTCCACAACTGCTGTTTTCACATACAAACATTATGTAGGAGTAATCTCAGGAATTCAGAGCAGTAACACAGCATTTTCAGGAGAGGGCAAGAAGTTAGTGCCACTGACTACAGACCCTTGATTAGTGACATATTTTTGTTTCTTGCCAGCGGAAGTGGCTGTAAGAATACCGACACCTCTTACTGTTCTTTGACACTTCATTAGCTAACGGGGCTCCTTGCTTCTGCTTTGAAATGTTCCCTCTACACATACTTATACAACTACTCCCAGAAACACCGACACAAAGGAAAATCACTTTGATCTGCTTGCGCTCTGCACCACTTTGTATATGCACAAAATCACAGGATGTTGGGGGTTGGAAGGGACCCCTAGAGCTCATCCAGTGCCACCCCCTGCCAGAGCAGGGTCACCCAGGGCAGCCCCACAGGAACGCGTCCAGGCGGGTTGGAAAGTCTCCAGAGCAGGAGCCTCCACACCCTCTCTGGGCAGCCTGGGCCAGGGCTCCCGCAC